TTAAATGGTAATAGTTTCACATGTAATGAATACTTAGTTTGGGTAAGGCACTAAGCACATTAGGTAAGTTGTTCACCTGCGACTCATAATTCTGCTCTGTCCTGAGCGAGACTTAGACTCTGACACACCTACCCCCACTACCCCAATTAAAGTATCAGTCCATCCCATCCTGGGTCTTCCTCTCCTGTCCTGTCTCTCAACCCTTTCAAGCATGATGTTCTTGTCCAGGGACTGGTCTCTCCTGGCCACATGCCCGATGTGTATGAGATCGTGCTTCAAAATTTTTCCTCCAAGTAGCAGTCTGGTTTCACCCTCTCTAAGTGAAATCTATTCATTTTCTTGACAGTCCATGATATGCTCGATTCTCTTCTCCAGCACCGTAGATTGTTTTCTTTTCAAAGCACTCCGATGAGCTAGATCCTATTGTTTTCCTCACTTCTCAGATGAAAAAAAAAAATTGTAGCACGGAGGAACAAAGTAACTTGTCCAAGGATACACAGCTAGTAAGTAACTTATTGTCCTGCCCAGAACCTTGAAATCTGGCTCCAGAATCCTTTATTTATTAAAGAATATTTTAACCTGTCTCTTAACACCTACTGAGAAGAATTGCTATTCTTTATTTTAGAGTTTTATTCAGAATATGCTTACACTGGTTTTCATAAAGCTAGGGGAGTTTTAAGTCCTGAATTTAAGGAGACTGATTTGATCTCTATTCTTTAAAAACCAAACAACCCAACTGAAATAAATGTATTTTCAGAGGTGAAAAAAGATGCTTAGCTCACTATTTGATAAATTTGACATTTATCTATGTAGTCAGAGTCTACTCACTTAGCAATGATTTAGAGTATCATGCTGAGCACTAAAGAGACAAGATTCAAAGCCTAGAGAAGACCCAGCATTTATTTTAATCTAGAGCAATAAAATACTCCGAAAGCACACAGAGATAAAAACAATGCCACTCACAAAAAAACTTGCTTAAGGGGGGTGGGGTGGGGAATCTCTGATGGCCAAGTGTTTAAAGCACGTGGCTGCTAATCAGCTGGAACCCACTAAAAGCACTGAGTTGTTTCCATAACTATTATAAACTTAGAAGCCCTATAGAACTGTTCTGTCCTCTAGGGCTACTACAAGTTGGAATTAACTTGACAGCAATGGATTTCAGTTTGGTCTGATTTTGGTTTGAGGTCCAAAAAAGAAGTGGAAGCACACAGGGACCTGAAATTTTATTCAGATAGGCCTAACATTCTTTCCATTCTACTGATATATATTTAGCCAAGTTGGTTGAATACACTGCAATAAAATTAACTTCTAAAATAAAATATCTGTGGCAATGAAAAAAAAAAAAGGTTTGCTATCAGCCTGGAGCCCATTTCTTTGTGGCCTGAAAATCAGGAAAGAGGGAAGAGATACCCAAGGGAACATGTTTCAGGGCAGGAGGAAGGGAAAGAATTCTCATGCAGAGGTTCCCAGACCTTCTCTGAAGGAATGCATGTGCTTTGGTTTTATGTGCTGGATATTCAGTCTCTTTCAGTCAAAATCCAAATTTGAAGCAGATGTCAAAACAACATCTATATCTATGACAAATATGTGTGTATGTGGATGTCCATTTCTCTGACTGGAGTCTAAGACGTGAGGCACGACATGCCTTGAGCCTCTGTCAAGGCTAAGTTTCATGATGTGCTTCCCTGTAGTAGGTACTCAGTGAGTAGTAGAACCATGATCATTGAGTCAGTGATGGCTTATTTTTCAGAAGTAGATAATCAAACATTTCTCCAAGTCAGTTCTGCCTGGGCTCAAACCCCTAACCTTTCAGTTAGTACCTGAGCTTGTCAGCCATCTGCACCACCCAGAGCTCCATTGCCAATATTAAACCTAAACCAAGCTCTTTAGGACAGAGTAAAATTGCTCTCAAAGAGTTTCCAGTGCAACAGATCGTCACAGAATTAGATTGCCATGTCTTTCTCCTCAAGTGTAGGTGATGGGCTCTAACTGCTGGCCTTTAAATTAATAACCCAATGTTTAACCACTGAATCACCAGCACTCCTCCTATCACTCTTAGCCGCTCCCTTTTATTCCTATCCATCTTCCTCGTATTTAGGTTTACCTGTTGTTGTTGTTGTTGTTGTTGTTGTTATGTGCTGCCAAGTCACCTGCGACTGACAGTGACCCTATGTAAAACAGTCCTAAAACCTGCTCTATCCTATACCAATCCTATTGTCTCTGATACACCTACTCCCAATATCCTAGACACTGAATCAAACCATCTCATTCAAGGTCTTCCTCTTTGTTCCTCAACCCTCCCAAGCATGACATCCCTCTCCAATGACTGATCCCGCCTTGCAACATGCCCAAAGTGTATCAGACAAAGCTTCAGAATCCTTGCCTTCAAGGACCAGCTTTGTTTCACTCTCTCCAGGATGAACTTGTTTGTTCTCCTAGCAGTCCATGGCATATTCAATACTCTTCTCCTGCACCACAGCTCAAAGGTATCAATTCTCCTTCCATCATCCCTCATCATTGTCAAGCTTTCTGATGATGTACAATAGAGGTTTACCTAGGCCAAGCCAAATTTTTAGCCTGGATACTTGGGTTGTATACCAATTGACGTATTTCATTTAAAAGATGCTGCCCTGGATGTGCTCACCAAGTTACCACACCCAGGTATCCAGGGCAACAGTATTTCAAGAATGGCTAGCAGAAAGGCAGAGCAAACAAGCAAAGATTGTTTCTCAACTGATAACCCATGTGCCTTTGTTTCCCGACTGATAACCAATGTATCTTGTGCTTTTCCACTGCCCTGGATTTTGAACTCATTGTATACTTAAGAATTTGTGACACCACCCTATAGTTAAAGATCTATCTAACTGCTACATGTGCTACGTGACTGCCGCAAGTGCTACATGCAAAAATGCTGTGTAAACCCTGAGCGAACACTGAGCCAATGAATTCAAACTGTGCTTTCATCACCCAATGAGAAGCTGATACTCAGTTGTATCCCCCTAAAGTGTATAAAAAAAAACCCAACTTTGTCTGCTGGCGGTCGGCTCCTCTGTCTCCTGCGAGAGATAAGAGTCGGCCTGGAGCTCCGCAATAAACCTCTTATCTCTTAAAAAAAATAAAAAATAAAAAAAAAGAAATCTGAAGAACAACCACTTGGACAACTAACTGGAAGAGATATATATTTGTTCCCATTCCAAAGAAGGGTGACCCAACAGAGTGTGGAAACTACGGAACAATATCATTGATTTCACATGCAAGCAAGATTCTACTGAAGATTATCCAAAAACGACTGGAATAGCACATCAGCAGAGAATAGTCAGAAGTCCAGGCTGGGTTTAGAAGGGGTCAGGTACTAGGGATATTGTAGCTGATGTTAGATGGATCTTAGCTGAAAGCAGGGAATACCAGAAGAATGTCTATCTGTGTTTCATTGATTATGCAAAGGCATTTGACTGTGTGGATCATAACAAACTGTGGCTGACTCTGAGAAGAATGGGAATCCCAGAACATTTAATCATGCTAATGTGAAAGCTATACTTGGACCAAGAGGCAGTCATCAGAACAGAGCAGGGTAACACTGCATGGTTCAAAATTGGGAAGGGTGTACGCCAGGGATGTGTCCTATCTCCATACCTTTTCAACCTGTATGCAGAGCAAATTATCCAAGAGGCTAGGCTCTATGAGGAGAAGTGTGGTGTCAGGATTGGTGGAAAATCTATTAACAATCTGTGTTATGCAGATGACACAACCTTACTCGCTGAAAATGAGGAGGACCTCATGCACTTGCTGCAGAGGGTGAAGGACTGCAGCCTTCAGCATGGACTGAGGCTCAATGTTAAGAAGACAAAGATTCTCACCACTGGACCAATCGGTAGCATCAGGATGGTTGGCGAAGAGATTGAGATTGTTCACAGCTTTAGTTTGCTCAGCTCCATGGTCAACACTCTTGGCACCAGCTGCCAGGAGATCAAAAAACGTATTGCGATGGGAAAGTCTACTGTTAGGGACCTCTCTAAAGTACTCAAGAGCAACGGTGTCTCTCTGGAGACTAAGGTACGCCTGATACAGGCCATGGTCTTTGCAATCACTTGTTAGGCATCAGAGAGCTGGACAATGACTAGGGAGGACAGAAGGAGAATTGACGCCTTTGAGCTGTGGTGCTGGAGAAGAGTATTGAATGTACCATGGACTGCCAAGAAAGCAAACAGATTCATCCTGGAGAGGGTTAAACCAGGCTACTCCTTGGAGGCAAGGATTCTGTGGCTTCGTCTGACACACTTTGGACATGTTGTAAGGAGGGACAGGTCCTTGGTGAAGGACATCATGTTTGGGAGGGTGGAGGGACAGTGCAGGAGGGGAAGACCCTCTATGAGGTGGATTGATTCAGTGACTGGGGTAATCAGGATGGGTGTGTCAGAGACAGTGCGATTGGCACAGGATAGAGCAGGGTTTAGGGCTGTTGTACATAAGGTCACTATGAGTCGCAAACAACTCGACGGAACATAACTACAACAACAACTTGGGTTGTGGACAAACAAATCATGCCTTCAGATCCAGATTGTTCTCTTTGATTTCCATTACAGAATTACAACTTTACTAAAGCTGTATTCAGAGCCTGATAGTGTCTCTGAGGTGATTAAGGAAAGGGAAGTAGAGAACACTGGCGATTTTCTTTGCCCTTACTCATAGTTTTCTTCCACCTCCAGCTGAGTGGGTGGATCTACTTAAGTTGTATTTTCTTATTCATTTTCCTCATGCTGATCTTGGTACTTTGCATGTCGGGAGCACACTTAAATAAAAATTTCTTTCTTCAATGGGGATAAATTAGTTCTTTTACACGAATCAGCTCTGAACACAAAATAACCAAACTGTTAACTATTTTATGTGTTAAGTATATCCCTACGAAGACTCTTATACTTCAGTTAACAACTATCAGACATGAGTCAGCTCTGACTCAATAACAATGTGTCAGTGAGTGAGTGAGTGAGTGAAATGCTTACCCAGATCTCTGATAAGGGATAGTGCTTCCCAGGATATAAAGGCTCCACCACCATCATCCATGGCACCTTGCCCAACATCCCAGCTGTCCAGATGTCCACTGACCAGTACAACCTGGAGCAAATAATGAGAAAAGTAATATAAAACTAAGAAACAATGACATCAATGAGAAAGGATTTACAGACATTTCAACTGTAGAAGTGTAACTTCATGCTTTCTCTTCTACTTTTAAGTCTTAAAATACACGTCACTACAAGATGAGTTTGGCTACCTTTCATAAGAGGTCTGAGGTTGTCCTAATAGTATCAAAAGCTTCACCTTGAATTCCTTATCAATATACTTATAAATAATAAATAGCTTATTACTGATTAGGTATTTGATAACTTTATTATATGACTTGGAACCAAAATGACAAAAAAAAAAAATGGAGCTTCAACCATATTCTAGGCTGTCCCAAATTTTAGCAAACATAATTTTATTACATGGCTTAAAATCAAATAAAATGATGTTGGATTAATGAGTGTTCCTATAGCAAAAGCCTTGTAATCTCTATGTCAGACAATCACTCAATCAATCAATAAATATCATGTCATATAGATTGGATATCTAAATAAAAATTTTAGAGAAAAATACAGGAGAATAGCTTTGACAACTTGGAGAAAGTAAATACTTTCTAAATAAGATACCATAAAAAGCACACAAAAAGAGGTAATAAATTTGACTTTTTAAGAGTTAAAACTATCCATTCATTAACAAAATAAATTAAGAAAGTAAAAGGGCAGAGCACAGGGGGAGAGGAAAAATCAGAACACATACATGCACAAAGAATTCATATCCAGATTACTTAAACAACTTATAAACAGTAACAGTTAACTCATAGAAAAATGGGCAAAAGATCTAAGCAGACACTTCACATTAAAAAAACATATTAATAATACTTATATGAAAAGATGTTCAGCTTCATCATTATCAGTGAAATGTAAATTAATCACATTATAACATATATTCATCAATATCACTAAAATAAAAAGGACAGAATATTATAAATATTGGTAAAAAGATGAATAATTGGAACACTTTCTTATAGATTGCTGGCATAAGAGCATAAATTCCTTTTGATAATAGGCTACATTTACTAATATGACAAAATACAATCCCTAATACCCAGTAATTTCACCCCTAAGTGTATATTCCTATATAGTGGCAAAGTTCTCAGGAGGTTGTGCTGTTAACCTAAAGGTCAAAACTCTCTGGTAGTTTGAATTCACCAGTGGTTCCAAAGGAGAAATATGGTCAATCTCCTCTCTTGTAATTTATAGCAATAGAAATCCAATGTTGAATCAGCTATCCAAACTGTGTATGCATGCATATGCACATATGCATACATACAAATATGTACACACTTTCACTAAGAGATATGCTAGAATGTGCTTTATGAACTATTAAAAAAATCACTCAAATGTTGATCAATAATTGGATGAATAAATTGTATTAATGGAACACCATATAGTTTCTTGTTTCTTTAAGTTAATCAGGATCTAGTGGGCAGGCCTTTGTATTTAAAAGCCGGTTAATTGTGTTCTAAGTAGTACAACACTTATCTGCAAGTTTGCTGTACTGAGATAACTTGGGGTTGCTGTGATATTGAACGCTGTGCCACTGGTGTGCCAAATGTCATAATGGTTACCCATGGTAGACAGTTTGGAAGAGCTCCCAAATTAAGACAGACTTGGAAGCAGGATTGACACCCACTTCTTAAATAACAGCCGTACAGAAACTCTATGAACATTAGAGAAACAAGAATAGTTATAGAACAGGGCTCCTATCTTTCTTTCATGGAGTTGCAATGAGTTGTACTTGACTCTACAACATTTAACAACAATACAGCAGTAAAAATGAACAAACTCAACTATATGTAAAATATGGTGGGGGTTGTTGTTGTTATATGCCATTGGGTCGCCTGCAACTCATGGCAACCCTATGTACAACAGCTCTGAAGCCTGTCCTGTGTCCTCAGCCAGGCTCAACTGATTCTGTCCCATCTACCCCATTGTCCCAGTTATTGTATCAATACATCTTACCTGGGGAAATATGGTGAGTTTCATAAATAGAGTGAAGAGTGAACAAAATCAGATATAAAATAACACATCATGTGATTCCATTGGTACAAAGTCTAAACACAGCCAGCAAGGAAAGTGGTATCCTTATTAAGGAAGGTTAGTAGCATACACTGTATTTCCTTATCTGGCTGCCAGATAAACAGGTGGGCTCAGTTTGCAAAAGATCATCTTATTAAACACTTAGGATTTGTGCATTTTCTCTGAATATATTACAGGCAATTCGGTAATATTTGACTAACATACAACCAATAGTTTATCCATGCATTTATTATGTACAACCTATAGTTACATGAACTAATTACCTTAAAGCCCATATTAAAAATTCAAGGTCAATACAATGGATGTAAGTGATATAACTGATGCCTTTGGATTGTGATTTTGGGCGAGAAATAGAGACTATTCCATGGACTTCCAAAGGAGCATATAAGTCTGTCTTGTTGAAAGTGGAATCAGGGTGCCCTTGGAGGCAAGGATGGTGAAACTTGGTGTCACGTACTTTGGGTATGTTGTCAGTGGGAGAAAGTGCTTGGAACAATACAACATTCTAGGAAAGATGAGAGGCCTGAGAAAGTGCAAGAAACCCTCAATAAGACAGTTTGACACAGTGATTATAACAATGAGCTTGAACATATCAGAGTTGATGAGGATGGGGCATGATAAGACAAGGTGCAGCTCTGTTGTTCACAGGGTTACTATGTATGAGTCGATGGCATCTAACACCACAACCACAATAGTAACACAATTACCACAATACTAAATGAGAGTTACTTTGCAATGTGAAACTAAATAATATCATAATTATATTATTAGTTTAAAAGTATTTCAATATATCTGGAAGTACTTCTTTAATGTATTCTATGCATAAAACATACACTAGATAATGTAAAGGCAAACATTTGACTAACTGACATTAGGTACAATTGTCTCTAACTGCTCTGAACTCTGATTTGTATACAAATTGGACCTACAGTGAGACAGTAGTGGACTTCATTCATAATCGGAGGATTGTCCGTATACTAGTATGCCTCAATATTAAGCTGATTTAACAACAGAAGGCTCATAACATGTAGGAAGAAAACAAAGTTGAGCCAATCTTCCTGATAGTTAAAATAAAAATACCCCATGAGTTTGGGAAAGCAAGATTTTTGAAGTATTGGGCTAAACACTTGTGCAGCCTAATTAACTGAGCAGCTGCACGATCCCCTTTGACTCTGCAGACCAACCCAGCCCAGTATGACCTCACTGTCCTCACAAACAGGCCCATAATCAAGTAATGGATTCAAATGGATTGTTTCTAAGGACAAAAGAAGAAAGGAAAAATCATGTTGCAATAGCGGGGAATTTAGAAAATGCTGTAATCCCATAAGGGACTAATGGTCCAAATAGTCAACATTCTCCTTACACTCAGCATCATTTTCTTGATTAAGTTAGAACTCCAGTAGATTTAAAATAGCATTTTTCTTTCTCAATGAAGCCTTTCTCAGATCACGTTTTATTGTTGTGTTACATGCCAATGCGTTGGAACCAATCCATAGCTGACCCTCCAGCAATTTTTCAGAGGCTGTAAATCACAGGAAAAGAGACTGCTCATCTTTCTCCTTCAGATAAGTTGATGGAGTCGAAATACCAGCCTTTGTGTTGGCAATATAACTCGTTACCACCAGGCCACCAGAGCTAGCATGTAAAAGGACCTAAATCAAAGCATGTACTGTTTTATGCTTCAGATTTCTGTATGAACTATTGAAGGTTTAAACAATCATACTTCTTTATGTTTAATTAAATATCCCCATTTTGCAATGCAGAATGGATGGTTTAAAAAAAGGATTTGACAAACGAATGGGTAGAGAAGCTGTGGTATATTCGCACAATGGAATACTATGCTGCATTGTAAAACAAGGAACTCATGCAATATTATTCAAAATGGGTGAACCTGGAGGACATTATGCTGAGTG